GAGCCGACGGTAGGTATGGCCGCTTTGTGGAGCAGATCCAGACAGAGAAAGGACCTTCCCTGTGGGATAAAGAACTGTGGGGCCCTAAGCTCTTCCGCACCGTCCTCCTGTGGTCGGTGGGGAAGGAGTCCGTCCGTTGGTGATTGGCTGTCTCCCCCTGCTGGAGAGCTTCCTGGAGAGCCTTTAAAGTTCTCTTTCTAAAGATTATTGGTGGAGTACGCTCACAGTGCAGAGGATAAAGCCAATGATGGATGAGAGCGAGCTCTAACAGCTGCCGCTGCGCCTCTGTGCAGGACGCCTTCGTCTGCTTTGTGACATTTTCAGTCAAGAGAAAATATTTTCAGTGAAAAGATTTTGAGTTAGTTTCTTATTATTGCAAAGTGATAATGTACTTTCTGTTCTTGTGGATTATTATTTCACTCTTTTATATACTCTTAATGTTTTCATTTAAATCCTTTGAGGCAAAAATCCATAATCTTACTGAATGTACCGTACTGACCTGAATATAGGACCACCCTGATTTTAAAACCACCCGTTCTTTTCAGGAAAATTTTTTAGGAACGGAACAAAAAGAAAAAAAAAAGACCCATAAACCAGAAACTATTTTATATTTTAGTGCTAACAATGTCATTGATTTTAATATTGCTTTAAATGATTTGTGAAAATGCACAATGAAAATTAAAAAACCACACTAATGACACATTTAAATGAAATCTTTTAACACTTCATCTTGAATTCAATCTGAACTTTGGTCACAGAACGTCTCAGAAACCTGCATTTTCCTCTCAGACTTTTGCTACCGTCACTCCCACTCTCACCCTGGCGCTTGCCGTTACTCCCACACTCACCCTGCTGCTCGCCGTCACTCCCACTCTCACGTCACTCCTACTGTCACCCTGCGGCTTGCCGTCACTCCCACTCTCACGTCACTCCTACTGTCACCCTGCGGCTTGCCGTCACTCCCACTCTAACCTTGCAGCTCGCCGTCACTCCTACTCTCACCCTGCGGCTCCCCATCACTCCCACCCTGCGGCTCGCTGTCACTCCTACGCTTACCTTGAGGCTCACAGTCACTCCCACACTCACCCTGCGACTCGCCGTCACTCCTACGCTCACCCTGCGGCTCACCATCACTCATACTCTCACCCTGCGACTCGCTGTCACTCCTACGCTTACCTTGAGGCTCGCCGTCACTCCCACTCTCACAGTCACTCCCACTCTCACCCTGCGACTCGCTGTCACTCCTATGCTTATCCTGGAGCTCGCCGTCATTCCAACAGTCAAACTGCGGCTCGCCGTCACTCCTAATCTCACCCTGCGGCTAGCCGTCACTCCCACTCTCACCCTGGAGCTCGCCGTCACTCCCACACTCACCCTGCCGCTCACCGTCACTCCCACTCT